TGGTTCCGTGAGTGCAGGTGGAACTCACGGGGAAAACTTATCCCCCTCTGGACAAAATGAACGGTGCCCAGGCCACATGGCTAAAGCCCCGGCAAGGTCACGTGGCGGTGCTGCCATTCCCAACCCTCTCCCCGCCCTACGTTCGCTAAAACGCCTTTCCTGTAAAATATAAAAGCATAAACTTTCCTGTATAATATAAAAACAATTCTTTACAGGCACGGTAATATACAAAAACAAAACCATCCATTTTCTCGCGTGCTGCTCATTGTCTTTTTCCAGCTGAAGGTTTATGCTGTGTTTTCTACGTATCAGGTTTATGTTTTGCAATCTGTGTTACCGTGGTCATCCGCATTATCTTCAAGATATCACTTCGTTTGAATTGTAAAATCTCCTGCTGCGCAGGGGTTTCAGATAAAGATTTTATTAATAATATTTTATTTTCACATCGCGATAGATTGTCGCTGTGCCAGTTCACGCTTATCTGTTATCATTTGGTAACTGTGTGAAATGAGGATGATTTAGTTTTTTCCCACTTCCTTTTTTTTTTAAGGTAGAGGAGTTTTGAGGTAGTGAAATGAGGACAGAACTGGAGTATGCTTTGTTTCTTTTCCATTCCCTGTTCTTTTTGAGGTTGAGAAGTTTTTGAAAGAAAAAGTGCTAAAGTGTGGTAAGAATATAGGATACGACTTCGGCTTGGGACGTAATTTTGGGACTTGGGACACCAAAACGTATTCTCACACCTTTTGTAAGTAGCAGTAGTGTTGCATCTGTTGTAGCTTAAAATACATTATTTTACTAATTCCTAAAGCGTATCACAAAATGTAGTTCTTTTTCCAAACACTAAATTTGTTTTAGATTCTTTGTGTTGTTTTTGGAGCGGTGTTTGGAGTAGTTCCGAAACGAGTATGCTGAAGCATTTGGTAAGTTCACAGAATTTTTCACTGTCTCAACTAAAAGCAGTTTGGAAAAAGGCTCACTGATTTGAAGTAATGTAGCGTTGGATGGGCTAGAGTCGTTCATGTGACAAACAGTGTGATGCATAATTTGGAGGTGCAAACGTAATTCGAAATGGATGGAAAAATCAGCAAGGAGGTTGATGATATTTTACTAAATGCAAAATTTGGCTAACGATTAGCCAGAAAGAACTTTAGTTCAGAATTGCTGAGCTTCAATAAGGCTGAATGCAGTTTTTCTCGGAACGCGATTTTTTTTGCACCCAGCGCCCGTTTTTATTGCACTTCTGCCCTCTTAAATGTTAGAAGTTCAATGAGGCACTGTTTTGAGCAGAATTGATGACATTTTTGAGCCAGACGAAGAGGTTTCCACGTTGTAATTACTGTTAATGCTATTTTCTCGCCTGGATTGCAATCCCTGCTTCCAGCTTTTTTGAGTTTTTCACTTACATGGACGGTTACGACAGTTTTCAGAAGCTAAGTTTGGATGATCCCAGATCGCTTAGGCGTCTTCTCTGACAAGTAAAGCTCCCATAATTTCAGGCATCATTCGGACTTGGTGTTTATGTTGGCATTTATTTGGACCAGAATCGTCACGTAAGTACAAACTCAACCTTCAAAATGTACTACAGAAATTGCAGGAAAACGAAGTCACGGAGATGCACCCTGGGTCCTGCTCTACATTGCTAAACTGCATCTATAGGCAGATCCAGGGTGGCCTCCTGGGGTTGGGGTAGTTTTCTTCCCCTTCGTCTCTCCCCCTTCAGCCACCTCGATCATCCCGCTACTCCCCCGTCCGCCTAATCGACTCTAAACTACGGCGACGATT